GTAGAAAAGAACTAACTTGAATTAGGGTTCGAAAGGACTCTACTTTTCAGCCCTAGGATTCAACCCAGGTGTGAGAATCTTTTAAGCATGTGCAAAGTGCCACTGAATAGCCACAAACCAACCCCACACAACCTTGGCCACATCCCCAGCATACATGCAAAGCACTGTGATACCGCTTTAATAGCCATGGCTTCCTCCAGAGAATCCCAGGAACTATATTATAGTTAGTTAAGGGGACTGTGGGAGACCGCTATTCCCCACATAGAGCTAAAGTTCCCTGGGAAGAGGGACTGGTTGTTAAACAAAGGTGCCAGCTTGCGAGGGAGACTGGGGAGCTGTGACATCGGGACATCGGGATGACCCGGGGGCAGAGCCAAATGCGGCAGTAGCGCTGCGTAAGTGGCTGGCGGCTCCTCCTCTTTGGCGCTTGGCCACCTTCTCCACCTGCTGCTGGCTGTGGGTTGCTTCCCCCATCTTTCCCTCACACAGCAGGAAGAGGAGCTGCCGGCCAATGGAGCCATGCTGTGCTACGCCCAGTTCCACATTTGGCCTCCTCTTGCCACCGCCACTGGGTGGGGGGTACTTTCCCCTCCATGGCAGGAGGAGGAGGAGAAGAAGGAGCCGACCACTGAAGCCATTCCACTCTCGGCCTCCTCTGCCCCTATTTTTTTCCAACATGGGGGCATCTCCAAAAAAATTATGGGGGAGCCAAAACAGCTGGGCCACTACGAATTGGTGCCTTTGTTGTTAAACCATACTGGGCATTTTAGCTCGGTGAGGGGAATAGCAGTTTGGCCACCTCATGAGAAAGAAGACTCCCTGGAAAAGACCCTGATGTTGGGAAAGATGGAGGGCATAAGGAGAAGGGGACGACAGAGGACAAGATGGTTGGACAGTGTTCTCGAAGCTACCAGCATGAGTTTGACCAAACTGCGGGAGGCAGTGGAAGACAGGAGTGCCTGCCGTGCTCTGGTCCATGGGGTCACGAAGAGTCGGACACGACTAAATGACTAAACAACAACAACAACTCATAGCCCCCTTAGCAAACTACAGTTCCCATGTGTCAGGGATCGTGCTGAGGAGGGCTGTACTGAGGAGGAATGGTGGGAGCCTCCGCCTCCCCTTGCTCCTGATCCGAATCCTGAATCTTCCCAGGGGCAGGAGGACAGTATAGATTTGGAACGGTGGTTTGCAGAGGGACATAGTTCAGAAGGCAGAAGCTGGGAAATACCAGATGGGGAGCACTGTCTCTGGAAAGCATTCACCCGCTCTCCCGAAGGTCAAGAAGAGCTGAGAAAGAGGCAGAACAGAAAGCACACAAAGCACAGAGGGTACCAGCTCAAGATTACAAGACATAGGAGTGACATGGATTAATGGGGACGTCAGGGGGTGGGATTCTTAATTGGGAGCACCGCCATTCCTAGGAGATGGGTTCTTTGTTCTCTCACTGTGATTATTAAAGTTTCTAACTGGTAAGAAGATTCCTTTTCCTTTGTTTTGCTTATCTCCTGCCACAGGGGGAGGAAGGCAATTCCCTGAAGCCTGACACCATGATTCTTTGGGAGGTTCATTTGCTCCTGTAAATTACCAAAACATGGATTGCCTTGCTGACTTTCCTGGAACACATGTCATTTAGGGCCAGTTTCCCCATTGCAAAAGCACGTGGAAGTCAACTGACCATATCAAGCAGTTTACTCACCTGGAGATTCTTTGTGCAACTGACAGCGGCTGCTGTTGCTTGGAATGCTAGGCAGTGGTATAAAGATTCTCAATGTGTTGCCAGCAATCTTTGGTATATATTCTTGTATAATTTATTTGCTTTTATGGATGTTTGTGAGCAGGGCTACAAACGCTTTCCCAATCCAACCTCAAAGGTGAATGAGGACCCCATTCAAAAGGTTAGGTTCCCCATGAAACATCCATATTATTAATTTATTCTTATTTATTAAACATACACCAGCAGATATTCTCTGGTTGCCTTTACAGAGCACAAAAGCAAAATCCAATCCAGTGCAGTATTAAAAATGCAGTATGCAGTGATTGAAACAGCTATTAGTTCTTTGACGTTTATCTTCAAGAAATCAAACCCTCCCATGCCACAATCTTGTTTCGAAAAACTGACATTTATTCATTTGTCTTGCATCCCTCCTGAGAAGCTAAATTTAGCACAAGTGTCTGGGCAAAATGTCAGATGACACGAGAGGATATCTGTTGCACAACATACCATAAGAGTGTGTAGCATTTAACTCGGTTAAAAATAGCCATATACTTGACAAATGTGACAGGCTCCTGCATTATATCAAATAGTGTGATAAACAAACTTTACTGCAATAATAGAGGTCAAAGGTATGCGGGGAAGACTGAACAGAGACAATCCAACAAACGAGTAGAACAAGTTATCTTATGCTTGATCCGTTTTTGGATGATCTCTCTCTATTTCTAGCAACTAGTACAGATCATTTTAAGCAATTTTAACTAAAGGACAAAAAAACACCTGCCGTTAACAAATAAAATAATGCCTACACAAGCCCGACGGTGGGGGTATTATGTAATTTTTTACATGTTGTAAGCCATCTTGAGCATACTTTTGATTATGGAAAAGTGATATACAAATAAAATGATGATGACGACTAATAGATAAACTATTATATGGCCATCATATATGTACACACAAATAAACATTTCAATATTTTTCCAAGCAGCAGACAACAGCCAAATTTTTGAACTGCAGAAGTCCTAAAATCAGTGATTGAAAAAATATATACGCAAAAGTATCTATTATCTATTTCAGATCATGAAATGAAAGCCAACCAATACTCAAAATAAGTTTCTTTGCTTCCTCCTAACCTTGGGGCAAGGCCTTTTCCATGGTGTCACCCTATCTTCAGAATACCCTCCCTGGGACCCTTGCCTGAGCTTTCTATTTTAAGCCTGTGATTCAATGGAGAATGACACAGGATCTGTTCTAAATTTGCTCCAGACCAGTTGGTAACCCTATCCTGAAAACAGTAGTCTGAAACAGGAGCTGCTTCCACACTGCACATTTACTGTAGAATAACCACAGTTTGCTCACTCACTTTTTTACAGGGCATCTGTGTGATATCATGAACATAACATCCTGCTCCCATATTTTCTCTGTTCAGATTCCACCCCCATCTCCATCTGAACTCAGAAAATCTTGGGTTTTTCCCCTTAACACAACAGAACAACTGCACAATTTTTCCAGGTGTAGGTGACCCATTGCACAACTATTCAGATTGTTTGGCCAGTTATGTTAGAAAGATTCTCCTGATGTTTAGCCAAACTCTCCTTTCTTGTAACTTGAATCCGTTGGTTTGAGTCCTACGCTCCAGAGCAGCAGAAAACAAGCTTGCTCCATCTTCCATGTGACAGCCCTTGAGATATTTGAAGATAGTTATCATAGCTCCTCTCAGACTCCTCTTTCCCAGGCTAAACAGACCCAGTTCCTTCAACTGTCACTCATAAAGCTTGGTTTCCAGACCCTTGATCATCTTGGCTGTCCTCCTCTGCACATGTTCCAGTTTGTCAACATCCTTCTTAAATTGTGGTGCCCAGAAGTGGACACGGTACTCAAGGTGTGGTCTGACTGAGGCAGTATAGAGTGGTACTATTACTTCCCTTGATCTGGGCTGGATCTAGACACATCAAAAAAATGTTTTAGGAAAACACATTGTAAATCTCATACAGTCAAGACTCACTTCCCGAACGCCTCTGTTTTGGAATGTTTCAGCTCCCAAACGCCGAAAACCCGGAAGTAAATGCTCCAGTTTCTGAATTTTTTTCGGAAGCTGGATGTCCAATGCGGCTTCCGCTTGTGTGCAAGAAGCTCCTGCAACCAATCGGAAGCTGCACCTCGGTTGTTGAACATTTCGGAAGCCGAAGGGGCTTCCAGAACGGATTATGTTCGACAACTGAGGTTTGACTGTACAGTAATGCAAAATCACATTGCCAAAGATCGAACTCTACAGTGCCATCTAGTGTCACAATGTTATTTATGCATTTATGCTTATTTTTCTTTTTTACTAATGTAGCTGAGTCCCTGGACACTATACTTTTGTTGATGCAGCCTAGAATAGCATTAGCTTTTTTCGTTGCTGTATCACACTGTTGACTCATGTTAAGCTTCTGGTCCACCAAGACCCCTAGATCCTTTTCACATGTGCTGCTATCATCTATCTATCTATCTATCTATCTATCTATCTATCTATCTATCTATCTATCTATTTGAATTTATATACTGCCCTATACCCAGAGGACTATCATCATCCCTAACTAGCAAGACGAATGGTCAGGGATGATGGGAACTGTAGTCCAAAAACAAATGGTGACACAAATATTGGAAAACACTGTTCTAAATGAACAAACAAATACTATGCCTTGTTTCATGCTATATTTGTGAGCAGGCAGACAAAAAATATCTTCATCCAAAGCGATTTAGCAAAGAGGCTGCTGCAGTGTTATGTACTGAGTTGAATAGGATCCAAAATGCAGCAGTCTGATTGGTCCTAGAACAATAGGATCCAAAATACAGCAGTCTGATTGGTCCTAGAACAATGCAGCAGTATGATTGGTCTGCAGGAGCCACCCAATCTAGCTCCAGGTGGAAGTGAATCCACAACCTGATTGGCCTACAGGAGAATCCCGGAATTAGCCAATCACGTGCAGCCCATTGTGTAAATAATGTATATAAAGCAGATATCTGGGGGAAACATTCATTCCTCCTCACCACTATGAGCTGAATAAAGAGCATGAAATCCACTCTCGACTCCGAGTATATTTCATGCAGTGTTTGCGCTGTTCTGTTTACAGCTGTGCTGGAAAGAGGGGGGAGAGCGGGGGGGGGAGAGAGAGAGATCACTCCCCAGGGAAACACAAGGACAGTTCTCCCTGGGCACTCGAGGCCTCGATCTGCACTGTGTGCTGGGGTTGCCAGGGGGACAGCACTGTGTGCTGGGGTTGCAGCAGGCGGAAAGGTAACTGAAGTAGCAACCCGGAAAGCTCACCTGCCACGCTGAGCCCTGCGCTTCCAGCTTTGCAATTAGATCTGGGTTTGCTGCTCACACACGTCTGTCTCTGTCGATGCAGCGAAAGCAGCACCGTCGGGCTCATTTGGTCGTGCCGAGATAAGCTTTAGACAAACTGAGGCAAACTGGACACTTTCCCCCCCCTCTTGACCAATTTCCCAGGGGGTGAAACTGCTGCGCGCAACAGTACACAGGATTCCTGCTGAAAAGTGAAAGGGGAAGTGTTTCCGCAACCCCCCTCCCTCCCTTCCTAAAGAAACATGACTTTTCTGATGATGACAAGGGACAATGATCCCAAATACTTCCTGCAGGTGGACAACGGACCGGGAAATATTTTCGTGACTCAGCTAGGAGAACACAGGTAAGGTGGCCCTTAACGTGTGTGATGCATTCCTTAAAACGGGTGGGGGGGACCTTTTATTCAGTTTGAGGGCCGCACTGTCAGCTGGGAAACCATCTGGGGGCCACATGCCAAGCTGAGTGGGGTCAGGGGATGCTGCTCTAACCCCCTTGTACAGTGGGTTACATTCTAGCCATGGAAAAGATAGATGTGCCTATAGGCATGCTACTGATTTGTATACATGTTAGATGGGCATAACTATTTTCTGGCAGGCTAGTTGCATTTTAATTCTTATTATTTAATTAGCACATTTATGCCCATAGGAGCTCAAGGTGAAGCAAACATTTCTCTCCCTCTCGATTTTGTCCTCACAACAACCCTGTGAGGTAGGTCAGGCTTGAGAGACAAAGGCTGGCCCAAAACCACGCAGTAGGCTTCACGGGTGAGTGAGGATTCGAACCCTGGTCTCCCAAGACCCTAGCCACTACTCCACACTGTCTGCCGTCATTGGGACTGCTTGCTCAAGGAAATTATCATTTCCAGGTTACACACCAAAGGCTTCCAACAGGATACAGAAAAACCTAACAAACCCATTCTTACTCTGATGAAATCACTTGGTGGTACGGCTCAAGTGGATCTCATCAAACTGCACGGCTGGCGCCAGGGATGATGTCACTGCTGCCTCTTTCCGCAGCGTTAAAATGCCAGACCAACAGTAAAATGGCATATAAAACGGTTCCCACAGTCAACCTTGCATTTGGTGTTTGCGCTGCATGGGGCAAAGAAGATTTCATGCTGGGGGAGGGGAGTGGAAGCACACCATGGAATTTTTTTTAAGCTGTTGACAACATTTAAGATCTCCCCACATTTACTCGTGAGAAAACAAAGCGAGAACTTTGCAGAGAGCAGCAAAACACATGGGCCCTGAATTTGTGGCGATCGCAGGGAGGTCTGGCTAACCCCCATGCATCCTCATAAACTCAGATGCTCAGCTGGTGGAGACAGCTTTGAAAAGGCCTGGGTGGATTTGAAGAATTATTTGCAGCTTCTACATGTGGGCGTCTCTTTAGCTGTCTGCAATATGTCATTGGTCTGCCAGATAATGCTTTACAGTAGACTTGACAGCCCTGGAGATTCTTTCTCCAGGACTTCAGCTATAAGTGTTTCCTGAACATGTGAATGGTGAAAGTGTGGGGAGGTGCAGGGCTCATCATGCCCGCTCCTCACTCAGTCCCCAACACAATATGGGGAAAGTCATCAGGGTTTTTTGACTGAGGGCGTATTCATACTCCGCACTGCTTTCCATCAGAGAAAACCACTCTTTAGTGCTCAGTTGGCGCAAACAGCGATTCAGGTTTTCCCCGGATTGCCATTTGTTCCAATCTATCGCTAAAGAATGGGTTTTCCCTTGGAAAACAATGGGGAAACCACTCAGATCCATGCCTAGAATAAACGTGGGTCAAGCAGAAACAAGGGCAAGCCCTGAGTATCAGTAGACTTCTGGTGCCATTCTGAACTGGAAAATTTCCCGTGGGAAAATAAAGCTTTGGAAAAAGTTACTGCCTCGTATTACTGCTGGGTGGTTGAGCAGGGAAGAGCATTCTTCTTACTCCCCACAATATGTAGGAAAATTATTGAAGGTATCATATCATCTGATCCAGACTGAGGATTAACAGCTTGTGCTGAAGAGCTAATTTTTTGCACTTTCTGCTCCAGCACAAGAGCAGGCAAGCATCTGGTTTTTCCTGATCAGGTGGCAACCCGACTTGTTGGTATAGAAAATGATCCCTTGCAAAGCACAGCTGCAGGATTAGAGTATGTGTAATTGCAACTTGGATTTGCATTCCACATTTGGTTGCTCACCCTAGGACCTTGATTTGCCATGGGCTTCTGTTCTAGCCATTTAATCCAATTCATTCAGGTATGTTTGCAGCAACTGCCTGCAAAGATGGTCAGGAGGACTCTATGTAGAAAAGGCTTTCCCAACTCCAGTGCCCATCAGCCCCAGCCAGCATGGCCAGTGATCAAGAATGAGGGAACAGGGATCTCCTAACAACCGCATGCACACTTAACAAACTATAGTTCCCAGGATTCTTTGGGGGAAGCCATGAGTGATATAATATTGCTTTACATTTATGATGTGGATGTGGTCTTAGGCACCAACTCCACAATATACATTTAAAGCAACATCACACCACTGTGTGGTTTAACAGGTAATCCCTCTTCTCAATCCCTCTGGGAATTGTAGCTCTCTTAAAGGAACAGGTGTCTCCTAAACCCAGGGTTTATTTACACAGGTGTCTAAATAAACCCAGATGCCAACTTTGCTGTCACATACACCCGGACAACACCGTTACTGGCCCCAACAACATCACACATACCATCTCGGGACTATTTAATTGCTCATCGTCTAACATTGTGTATGCCATCAAATGCCAACAGTGTCCTTCAGCTCTCTATATTGGACAAACAGGCCAAACCTTACGCCAAAGAATAAACGGACATAAATCTGACATCAAGAATCACAAGACAGAGAAACCAGTAGGAGAACACTTCAATCTCCCAGGACATTCTATACAAGATCTCAAAGTAGCTGTTTTACTACAAAGGAATTTCAGAAATAGACTGGAAAGAGAAGCTGCTGAATTGCAAATCATTACCAAACTTAAAACCATGGAGACACCTGGCCTGAACAGAGACATTGGATTCTTATCTCACTATACATGACAAAGCCATTTTTCACCTTCTCACCCCTTGCTTTTTCCTGTAAGACCTACTGCAGTCGTTAAGGGTCGTCAACAGACTCATCACAGCTATCTGCCAATCACCCATTCCCACCCCCTCTGAGTAATACCCCTCCCCACCTTCTCACTATATAGAAGGATCTGGCAACTTCTGTTTCAGTGTATCTGAAGAAGTGTGCATGCACACGAAAGCTCATACCAAGAACTAACTTAGTTGGTCTTTAAGGTGCTACTGGAAGGAATTTTTTTTGTTTTGACTATGGCAGACCAACACGGCTACCCATCTGTAACAGGTGTCTCCTAACAACCCTCAGCACTCTTAACAAACTGCGGTTCTCAGGTTACTTTGGGAGAAACCATGGCTGTAGTATTATGCTACTTTAAAACTATAGTGCAGATGTGGTCCTTATTTGGATACAACCCAAAGCAGGTTTCCCCCCTTCAGAACTATGTAAATTAATGTATTTTAATAAATTCATTAATTGGTTAATTAAAACATATACTAAATCAGCTAACAGCCCAATCCCATGTGGCTACTCATAAATAAGCCCAATGAGGCTGACTCTTAGAAAAGCGCATGTGTGAAGGCAGCCTGAGTTTTCATTGGGTGACAAATCTAGTAATATGTGATCAAACCCTAATTTCCTCCCTTTGTCCTGTCATCAGTCCTGGTTCCTCTTCAGCTGTGTTGAACACCTCTCACTGCAGTATGTGCCAACCCAGATTTCTTGGAGGACAGCTCCCATCAGTGGACGGAAATTGCAGTTCAATACATCTGGATGGCACCAGGTTGGCAAAGACTGCTCTAATGATAGCCCTTCCATAGGACCATGGAACGAACCCAGCAGGTGGCACTATGGCTATGTTGTCTCCTCCTGAATGGGGTAATGTAAAGGTCCCACCTGGATCTCTTGACCTTTCAACCCTATGTCGCTAGCGGTACTATTTAGGAAGGAGCCGCTGCCAAACTACTCCCCTTAAGTGTTGCTTCCTTGTGTTGAAAGGGGGAGACATCTCCTGTAAACTTAGTATGTTAAGGGATTTACCCTGTATAGGGTAGGTGCTCAAGGATGAAGCAAGATGCCATAGAGGTGCCATTGTGATGCTTCCAGCTATCTCCCCTAACTCCTAGATACTGCTGTTGTCACTGTTGTCAGTCTCCAAAAGTTCAGCATAGATTTATATCCTGGAGTTTTAAGGAGAATGGACAGGTGGGTGACTTGCAGCCTAGGGGGCTTCATGTGGCCCATTGCCATTTTATGCAACCCCCAAAACCTGCTACTATTCATTTCTTTCTGCAGGGTCCTACATTCCATTTATTTTATCACTACTGTCGCTGGCTTTGCCTCCCTCCATCTTGCTATATAGTTTCTCAGTAAATGGAGAAGGCGGGATTTCATTTTTTTAAAACACCCACCCCCCATTTGAGGGGGGGGGAAAAACCCCTGCTGCTTGTAAGACTCCTGTTCAAAGGACTCCACAGCTTCTGTGTTGAAATCTATGGGGCGATGAGGCTCAAGGAGGGCATACAAAAAACTCATTACATGGTTGTTGGCAGTAGCTAGGACATCTGTTGTACAAAAATGGAAGACTGCAAGAATTGCAAATTTCCCCATGTGTGGAACATTGTGGTGGTGGTGGTGGTGGTGGTGGGAAATAGGGCATAATTTAAATGTTGGAAGCTCCAGAAGGTTGCCAGGCCATGTGGTGGGATTTCATTTCTTACAGTGCTGCAAATAGCCTCTGGGACTGTGTGGCTTTGCCTATGCGTGAAATATGGCTTTCTGAAGGATTTGTGAATGTTTTATATATCAATATGTCTCTCCATTTTGATTTTGTATAGACTGAGAAAATTTGTATGTGGTCCCTGCCCTCCTTACTTGGGTTATATCTCATGGTGTGTGTATACAACAGATAATAATAAAATTGTTATGCTTCCATCATGGAAGTATGTGTGCGCATGTCTGAATGTGCAGCACACAAAATTTAGAGAGGGATTACATTTACTTGCTTTCTAAAATGGTAGTTGTTTTGGTTTGCTTTACATAAAAAGAAAAGAAAAGAAATTCTCTGTACAGTGGTACCTCAGGTTAAGTACTTAATTCGTTCCAGAGGTCCGTTCTTAACCTGAAACTGTTCTTAACCTGAGGCACCACTTTAGCTAATGGGGCCTCCCGCTGCTGCCGTGCCGCCGGAGCACAATTTCTGTTCTCATCCTGAGGTAAAGTTCTTAACCCGAGGTAATATTTCTAGGTTAGCGGAGTCTGTAACCTGAAGCGTATGTAACCTGAAGTGTATGTAACCCGAGGTACCACTGTATACTTATTTCAGAGTAACCCCACAAAACCTAGTGGGGGTTACTTCTAAGTAGACCTTCATATCATAGGGGAACAGGGCATGGAGGGAGCCTGCTGCATCCCGGATTAGACTTGACCCAGGAGTGGAGCTGCGACTGGGCCCAGGCACAAGAAAGCTGCCTCAGTAGCAACATTGTGTGCCACAATGCAGCCAAGGAGAGGGGTGGCAATGTTGCAGCCAACTCTCTTCTCTCTCCCCCCAGAGTGGAGGTGCAGTTGGCAGTGTTGGTCCACCATGCAAAAATGCTTCCTCCACAGCTCTTTCACAGACCTGTGGTGGGGGGCCCTCCAAAAAAAGTGCCATGCCACCCCAGTCACCCATGCTATGCCACTGCCTGTAATATGCTATTGAAGAAAATGTTCCAACTAACATTTGTTTAAAAACCTGAAGCATTTCTATTAGGGATTGTAGGGAAAGACCTGCCAAGGAAACTGAAAAATATATTCATGTGTGCAACAACGGCGGCAAGTGTCTTAATAGCACAAGGTTGGAAAAATGAAGAAATCCCAACCAAAGAACTGTGGCAAGAGAAACTGATAGACTACGCAGAATTGGCAAAAGTGACACACAAATTACATGACAAGGATAACTGTGATGAATGGGAACCTTTCACAAAGTACTTAAAGAAACGACAAAATGAACTGGTCTCTTTGGCAGATTTTGAATAAACATACACAAACTTTTTATTGATAATATTTAGATAGATAAATTAAGGATCTGTACAATTCTGTGACATGCAGAGAATAACAAATGCTGAAAAACCAGAGAGAGGAGCTGAGGGAAGTCTGAGAGGGTGTGGGGGTTTCTTTTTGGGGGGAGGGGGAAGGGAAAAATGGGGAGGGGGGAAAAATGAGGATGATGTCTGGTCACACCAAAGTGTGACGGAACTTTGGGAGCTGCCTTTCATACACGGAGAACCATTTCTAGGTAGTATGGGTATATGACAACAATTTACCTTTTTTATATATATAGGCAAGAAGAGGGTGAAGATGTGCCTCAGATTCCTGTCATGCGAGAGGTCAGCTGCCTTTGTCATTCTCTTTCTCAGACAAGAGGGCCGGGATAAATATAGGACAGGGCTTCTGTTTCTTTATTACGTGTGCCAAAAGCAGAGCTTTGGCAGAAGTTGAGCAATTCTCCGATAATAACCATGCCAGGGGGATTGTACTGGTATCCAGGGAAGATAATATTCTTCTAACTGTTAAAGCCCTACTTGGGAGTTTGCCTTCTGTGCTAATTCAACACGCAAAAGGGGAGAGCAGGAATGAACATGTCAGCTCTGTCCTCTTGTCAACATGTGCAGTGGAGAGCTTGCTTGACTCATGCAGGCTGAGGCTCCCTGCATATGGGGAGCCTTGGCCCTCCAGATGGCACTGAACTACAACTCCCATCATTCCCTGACCCTGTAGACCTGAAGGAGCGTCTACACCCCCATCGTTCAGCCTGGACACTGAGGTACAGCCCTGAGGGCATTCTGGTAGTTCCCTCATTGCAAGAGTACCCCTAAACATTTTCAAAGAAAAAAAGGAGTGTGTGGGGTGTGTGTGTGTTTGTGTACACACACACACGGACTAGATAACCTTTGGGGCCCTTCAAACCCTACAGTTCTCTCTCCTTCCATCACTCTCTCTCTGTATATTTGTAAAAACCAGTTTTGTTTTCTAGAGCACCAGTGACATTTTGCAGCATCGCAGAAAAGCACTGCAAACATTCCGGCTTCGGAAGAAAGAAATTGAGAATGAGCAGGCCTCTGCAGAACTGACTGCAAAGAAGCAAGAGTTCAAAGAGAGGATGGAAGCGTTGGTCCAACGAAGAGAAGCGCTTGAACAAAAAGATCAGGATGTAAGCATCACTCTGCATCTATAAGGAGGGCACTTATAGGGAGTTGGGGTCTAGGCTGGATCTGCATTGATCTGTTAAACGTTATTAACATAAAAGAAACATTAAATCAATATGCATTAAATAATTATACAATATCCAAAAAGAAAAAACAAAAAACATAAACAAAATAAAATAAACCCACCACCCTGTTTAACTTCCCTCCACCACAACTTGTCTTCTCTACAATCAATTTTACCCTTATCATTGCATTCTGATTGTTTTTATTTTCTCTACATGTATATACATACATACGTCATTGATAATTTATTGTTTTCATGCATTTACATTCTTAACCTAAGCATATTAACATGTCTTTCTTTTTTAGAGCAATATTTTGTCATATAATCATCAAAGCATTGCCATTCGTTTTTTAGTTTTTGACTTGACTGCTATCGTATGCATGCTGTTAATTGAGCCAATTTTAAATATTCATTAAATTTGAGAATTCATTCCTCCTTGGTAGGTAGTTCTTTAGCTTTCCATTTAGATGCTATTACTATCCTAGCTGCGGTGGTCGCATATAAGAAAGTGCTTTTTTCCCGATTTCGGTATTTCTTTTCCTAAAAGGACCAGTAGGTAAGCCTCTGGGTTTTTCGTTAATGGGATTTTAAGCATTTTTTTCAACTCCTCGTGTATTTCTCCCCAGAAGTACTTAATTGGGGTGCAACTCCACCACATATCAGGCACTACCATTCTCACACAGTTGTAATGATGCAAAGCCGGAAGTAGGGGCCAGTCAGGTGTGCTAGCTATAGGGGGCTGAGATGTCTTCAACCCCCTCTGTATTTGTTGGAAAGGGGCCAGGCCCCCTCAATGTTGAGGGGGCAGAGGAGGCCGAGTGCGGATCTAAGCACAGCACAGCTTCAGTGCTCAGCCTCCTCCAGACAATTGGGAAAATGAGAAAGTGAAAGAAACTGGAAATGGCATTCACTCATACTCAACTCATACTCAGGATCACACTTCAAAACGACCTTGACAGATTACAGAACTGGGCCAAAACAAACAAGATGAACTTTAACAGGGAGAAATGTAAAGTATTGCACTTGGGCAAAAAAGGTTGTTTTCTGCTGCTCCAGAGAAGCGGACACGGAGCAATGGATCCAAACTACAAGAAAGAAGATTCCACCTAAACATTAGGAAGAACTTCCTGACAGTAAGAGCTGTTCGACAGTGGAATTTGCTGCCAAGGAGTGTGGTGGAGTTTCCTTCTTTGGAGGTCTTTAAGCAGAGGCTTGACAACCATATGTCAGGAGTGCTCTGATGGTGTTTCCTGCTTGGCAGGGGGTTGGACTCGATGGCCCTTGTGGTCTATTCCAACTCTATGATTCTATGATTCAACCGTAGCTCCAGAGCACTGTGCTGGCCTGCAGCCTGATCACAAGAGGGCAGCATAGCAGAGGCTGTAGATGGGATTTGAGATGGAACACTAGCATTTTGTTTGGTAGGTCCCCAATTCAGCTGCTGGTATCTCTGTTTAAAAGCTTCAAATGTCAGATGATGAGCAAGACCTGCCTGAGACCCTGAAGAGTCTCCTTCTAGTTGCAATATGCAATATTGGGCAAGATAAACCAGCAGCTTGATGAGGTATAAGGCAAAAGTGCTTGGACCCATACCTAAAAAGTGTGGAGCAAGTTGAAAACCACTTGGGCCCATGCTTCCTAGGCATGGGAAAAGTGGAAGTGTGAAGGAACCCTAAGTTGCTGTGAACTTAGTCCCAGGTAAGTGTGTAAATGACTGCAGCTTAATCAGTCTTCCCTCCATTTTTTGTTAGTGTCCAGGATGGTAGGATGAATTCATTCTCATTTTCTCTGAAACAAATGACTTCACCTTCATGGGCCCCCACCTTTGAATACTGAGCAAAACTATGCAAAACTGATTAAGCCTTCTTTCTCCTTCTTGGTTCAGAGGAAGAACCGCATTCTTGAATTTGACGAATATATTAAAGAGTGTCATCAGAAGAAGGAGCGTGTCATTCAGCTGTACCACCAGGAACACGCGCTGAAAGCCCTCAAGAAGCGTGAGGTATTCAAACTGAAAAAAGAGCTTAAGAAACTCCAAGTTAGGTATGTGACTGATGCTTTTAAGACGGATTTGAGACTGAGCCACGGGTATCTGGGCAGGGGTGCAGTGAGGCAATCTTAGACACTGGACTTCTGGAGGCCCCCTCGTTAGATGCCAGTGTATTACTTCACTTACTTCAAAATGTCGTAAGCCAGCTTTGCTGTATTTGGGGACTCTCCTGCTGGGGACATTCCTCTGAGTGGAGCCCTGGACTTCAGTCCCAAAGTCTTCTCCTGATAACATCACTGCACATTATTCTCCAGCCGGCAAACATGGTTGGCTTTCCTGATGTGAAGGTCCTGTGCCCTGGCAGAATAGAATCATCATCAAAATTATATTTCTTAAGAATGGGGGCTTGCTAAGAGGGCCATAGCTTAAATGGGGAAGGCTGTAGTTCAGTGGGAGAGCACCTGCCTTGCATGCAGAAGGTCACTGGTTCAATCCCTGGCATCTCTAGGTAGGCCTGCCAGTCAGTGTAGACATTATTGAGCTACCTGGGCCAATGGTCGACTCAATATAAGGTAGCTTTCTGTGTTCCTAAATTTAATCTTTTACATATTTACGTAGAGCAAATGTTTAATTATCTAAGAGTACGAATCCCCACGATGAGGTGAGCTCCCATTGCCCCTGCTCCTGCCAACCTAGCAGTTCGAAAGCACGTCAAAGTGCAAGTAGATAAATAGGTACCGCTCTGGCGGGAAGGTAAACGGCGTTTCCGTGCGTTGCTCTGGTTTGCCAGAAGTGGCTTAGTCATGCTGGCCACATGACCCGGAAACTGTATGCCGGCTCCCTTGGCCAATAAAGCGAGATGAGCGCCGCAACCCCAGAGTCGGTCACGACTGGACCTAATGGTCAGGGGTTCCTTTACCTTTACAGTACTCAGCCAGCTTTCCCTTTCCCTCCTTTAAAAACACAGCTGTGGAATATATTTCCCTCTGAGTTCTGCTGGTGCCTACCTCACTTTCAACTTTGGCCCCAGGTTAAGAAGACCCCGACTGCTTTCTTGGGGGTTTATTAATTGTTAACTCTGCTTTGTAATAATAAGGGGATCATCCACTCTGTGTTTTAAGATGGTTGTGATTCATTCGTTCATTTTTATCTGCTTGCTTAACTAACAAAAGGGTGGTTCCAAATATATCCGTGTACCTTGCTCTGAGTACAATTTCATATAGAGCTGGTCACAAATATTTTGATAAATGAATGAAACAAAAGCCAAGACCCTTTTGGGTCCTCAGGACAACATCTTGATGGTGCTGACCACATTTTTATCTGTAAGCCACATTGAGTCCCTGTCGGGGGAAAGGGCGGCATATAAATAAATATATATGCAGTGATCATCATCACCAACTTGAGCCAGTGAAGGCTGGTCCATTAGAGCAAAAGGGGCAGTATTCCACCAACTTCACTGTGCCCCCAGCCAGCACCTACCTGCCTGCCTTTTTAGTTACATCCACTCCAAAGGCAGACACTCAGTCTCAGTGTTGCCTCAGCAGAACTCCTTAGGGAGGAGGATGAGAACATAACTAGTTAGTTGGCTCTGCTCATCCTTGGCTCTGGCTTTACCTACTGTTGACTTCTCTGCCCTCCTCCCTACCAGTTCCAATGGGCACCAGCCAGCCAACACTGGGCTGAGCTGGTCTGTCACTCAAACGCACAGCTGGCAGGAACTGGTGGTGCGACTAAACATGGGCCATCGCTGCAGATGTTTGGCTGCCCATGGCAGTCAAGGTTGAGATGGGGGAGGATTGTCCCTCACATTTCGTAACTGAATTACAGCAATGATCCCTTTCCAGGAATTTCGAGTCATTTGTTGATAAGACAATTTTTAATGTCTGAGGCATTCCAAGCGCCCCTAATATATATTTCTTCAGAAAAAAGGAACTACAGAAGAAGATGGCAAAATACAAAAGCTTCGAAGATTTCCTGAAGAAAGTTACAGCCACATTCACACCAGGTGAGTATAATCATTAAATAGTTACACTTTACTTGGGGGGACTCTGTACTTGACAAATACGTCTTTAGATTTCTTGCCTTTTGACTCACAAAAGGATCCACAAGACATCTTTCATAAACTGCTTTTGAAGAGCCATCAAAAATAAAGAGTAGCACAAAAATACCAAAACAATGAAAACATGACCCTAATATGTGTTTTCCATGTATAGCATAATCCTCCCTGTTTTCCATTGCAGGCTTTCTTGGATATCCGGAAGACTCCATGGTTGAAGCCCTCGTCAAAAGGCACAAGACACTGTTTGAGGAAAACCAGAGCTTGATGAAGAATTTGTCCATCCAGCAGTGTCACATTGAGGAAACGCAAAAAGAATTGGGGATCTTGCGAGAGGAATACAATACCACAACATTTGTAATGTTCACTGAGCATGTAGTTTTTATGACACCCAATCCATTCATTCCACAGGTCCGATTGTACTAAGGACCGAGTGTGCTGGTTCTTTTCTGAAACCTTGGAGAAGGTCAATTCTGTCTTCTGAAGCCAACAAAGCTTTGAGAAGTATTTGCAGCACATAGGAAACCCATGCTGTGTAATTCATTAGGATTCTCAACTTGTAGATTCCTTCGGAACAGGGTCCAATTGGCACTATAACTGGTCACACCACAAAGCCTCAGAGAGGATTTGTTGTTGCTGCTGCTGCAGTTGTTTTCTTTTTCTGCAGGAAGTGGGCGAATGATCTTTTTGAAAGGCTTTTCGAAAAATATGATTATGGCTTCCCCCTCTTGCCCCATTGTGTGCTGCTAGTGTACTGCTGCTGCTGCTATTGTTTCATTGTGTTCTACTAGTTTGCATCTTCCCTCTCATTGTGTACTACTAGTGTACATCTCCCTTCTCAATGGGTACTATTAATAGTATTAGTATTAATACCATTAGTATTGAATGGTGTTACACTAGCAGGTATTGTCTTCTCTGACTGGCAGTGGCTTTCCAGAATCTCAGGTAGAAGATCTTTCCTATGGCCTGCTACCTGTTCTGTTAAGTGGAGATGCTCCTGGGATTGAACCTGGGATATTCTGCAATCAAAGCATGTACTGCATCACTGAGCTATGTCTCTTCCCCATAAGCCTAAGTGCTGCTGTGGTGGAGGAAAAAAACCATTGTTACAGCACCAGACCCTTCCTTACCATTAGGAACCGCTGCTGTTTTCTGGGCAGCGCCGCTCACTTTTTCTCAGGGAAGCCTGGGAGCCTTGAAATACCCTACCCTGACTTTCCCTGGCTAGTACCTATGATGGCTATGTTCTACTTCCACTGTTGAAGGAAGTTTGCCTCTGAATACCCATTGCAAGACACTGCAGAAGGGGTGAGTGCTGTTGTGCTCATGTTCAGAGTGCTGGACTAGATGGGTTCTTGGCATGCTCCAGCAGGGCTCCTATGTGCCCATCAGGAAATCTCAAAACAGTCAAAACCTCTCCGGATACAATTTCTCTTTCCTTCAGCTGCCATGCAGTTCCAAATAGTCTAATGTGACTGTGAAGTGTTTCTGCATATATTTGCATGTGTAGGTGGGTGAAATCACTTGCAAAGCCTCTATTTCCTCTTGCAAGCTTGGTTAATATTTTTGTTGTTAATTACAGTCATACCTTGGGTTGAATGCGCTTCAGATTGAGCGCGTTCGAGTTGCGCTCTGCGGCAACCCAGAAGTAATGGAGTGCGTTACTTCAGGATTTCGCCGCTTGCGCATGCGCAGATGCTCAAAATGACATCACGCATGCGCAGAAGCAGCGAAAAGCAACGGGCACGTGCGCAGACGTGCCGTCGCTAGTTACGTTTGCTTCTAGATGCAAACAGGGCTCCAGAACGGATCCCGTTCGTATCCAGAGGTACAACTGTATTACATTAATGTTTACTGTATGCTGCCCTGAGATCCTTGGGTGAAAGGCAGATTACAAATGCTGTAAAATAAATGTATGAACAGCACATCCCTAAATTCCCATTTTATGGCTTTGCCTAGGTGCTGCTCGGCAAAATTTCTGAACTTCAGTCAAAGAAAAGTGCACTACAAGAAAAAAAGAAACACTTGTGTCACCACATTAACAATGAGGAATGTCTCATCGATCAAAAGGTAAGCTTCTCTGAGTCCCCACCCCACCCCAAAGCTCCTGTTTATTGATTGGATGTTGTATACAATTTAGAGATTAAAAATGTATATATTACAGGGTTTATAAATACTTTTGCTTTTAAGTAAATAAAGTAAAATACAGCTCCCATTAGCCCCAGCCAGCATGGAAGTTCAACAATATCTGGGCTGGATCTACATTGATCTTTGATACATTATTAAATATAATGGTCTATAATATTTGTTACAGTTTCCCTTTGGTGTCACATTTTAGCAATGGATTTTTAGCATTATAAACCACAAGTGTAAATCTGCCCCGGGAAGGCTAAAAGTTCCCCATGCCTGCCTAAATTTGCAAAAAGCCTGCTTTGAGGATAGTGGAGGGGCAAAACTGACGCCTGAACTGGGATTTAATTTGCTGCTGTGTCCCATCTGAAATGAGAATTGCAAAACTGGGATGAAACTGGATTTATATTGATAATGAAGATGATGAACCAGCTCCATCTTCTTTTTTTTAAAAAAGTGCTAACCTCACTCTTGATAAGTGTTGTCTTCTTTCACTACTCTCCAAGTATATGTGGATGTATAGTGCTGAGAAGGACAAAGTTCATCCATCTCTTTATGCTCATGTAGAGGCAAGATCTAAGCAGGATGATGTTAGCAATCAACAACATGGCAGAGTTATGCTACATGCCTCATTATGGCCCTTTGGATGACATGACATTGCGGTCCAAGCTAGACATGATCCAGGTAAGTGAAACCAACCCAAGACTGAGTGTAACATTTTATCCATGACTGTTATGAACAGCAATAATCTAAGGGGATAAATCATGCATTTAGATCAGGGAGTGGAGCAATAATACATAAAGCATTTTTACTCCGCTCTTCAGCCCCACTCTTCCTCTTTGAAGTGAAGGACATGAGGCAGGAGTTGGTAATGCAGGTGAGCTGCGCACAGGTGAGCTGCAAGCAAGCTGCCAGCCAGCTCTGTGGAGGCTCCTTTTATTGACACAATATGCAAACCCAAATTTTGGGCTGTGACCTTTACACATCTTCCAGTCCTGAGATCGTGGGGTGGTACAAAGTTATTTTGGCACCTGTTTCCACCGCGTCATTTCCCCCTTGCACAGTGTATGACGAAGGAGACAAATGTCTCAGAGACAAAGGTCACAGACAGGACACCACAGACTACTGAGACCGCAAAAGGTTAGACAGAGGGGAATATGTACAGACAGCTGTGGCTTTATCTGTGAGGGGGAGTGTGCCCCGCACCCCAAGGTCACGCATGCAGGTAGCCAAGGCTGCCTGCGGGTGGGGAGTGTGCTCCGCACCCAACGATCATTCCTACACTCTTGACTTGACTGACTGCTGCCACTGGGCCTGGACAGACTACAGACTGCATGCACTAGAACAGGCATGTCCAACAGGTCGATCGTGATCTACCTATTCACCGCAGGGCGCTAATGGTAGATTGCGGTCGATCGCATGACCCTCAGTGTTTGTCCTCTAAAAGGAACAAAAACTTGCCTCCCCCCCCCCCAAAAAGCTCAACAACTAACAACTTTGCCTCTCCGAAACTAAAGCTCAACAATTTTGCCTGGCAATGATAATGGGTAGATCACAGCCAGTATTTTAATACCGTACTGTGAGTAGATTGCAGTCTCTTGGGAGCTGGACATGCCTGCACTAGAAAATGAGACGGAAAGTGCTCTAAAGGGTAGGGGGGAAAGTCCACACTTTAGAACCAAAGGATTCCTATCTCCTGGTGTTGAAACAACTCACTGATTATTCATAGCACCGACTTCATTTGTTTACTAAAAAAACCACTGAAAAGCAGGAAAAGACAGGCTTACCCGTCTGTCTGCACATTTCACTTCTAAACTTTTTAAATAGGTGGTTGGTTGACTTTCTTTTTTTATGAAAGCTCAGAGTCTGGGTCCCCTTGCAGGCAGGGCGCTGGGGCGATTGCACCACTGATAATCCAGCCTTGTTAGCCATGCAGCAAGATAAGAAGGGAAGGAGAAGCTCAAGAACCTGAGGCTTTGCTCAAGCATGTTGCATATAGCAGCTCAGGCACATAGTATTTAACCATGGTTTACTGCAGCCTCCTCCAGCCTGGCGTCTTGCAGATGTTTCAGACTGCAACTTGCATCAGCCCCAGCCAGCACAGAGCAAGGATGATGAAAGTTCTAAACTGAAACATCTGGAGAGCACCAGGATCTGGATAGCTATTTTAGAGCTATGTGTGAACCATCCCAATGTGTTGTGCAAGATTAATTTTCCATGTGAATTTGCAAGACACTTTCTCAGTACTTCAGCTTAAGCCACTCTCCTTTTAGAAACTAAGCTTTATTAAGAACCTTTCTCTCTTTTTATTCAGGAGTCCATTTTGAGGAAAAAACAGATCGTAGAGGAAACAAAAGCCCTGCAGTCTGAAGAACTTACAAGGTCATCCTCTAATCTTTTCAGGGAAAAGTCATCTTCTACTCTTTCTAGGGAACTTAAAAAGCAAATAAGCTTTGTCAGTAAGGACAAGCTGGAAGACAAAGGAGGAAAAGCATAAGGAGACAAATCTCTTTTAAAATCCCATATACAGAATGGGGGACACGGCTGGGACTAGTGGAATATTTATAGTAGGTTCTGCACACAAATCAACACAGATGGATGTCAATGCATTACCATAAATGCTTTGATTTGTGGGTGAAAGGGTCTTTCATTCTCATTTTTTTGCAAGTTTGGGTTGAGTGATCTTAATTCTTTCTGCCTGCTAATTCTATGTAGTTTGGTGTTTACGGACTTGCTGGAGGAGCGGAAGCCAATCTCTGAAAGAACCAATGCACAATTTGGAGGTGCTCCTACAGCCATCCATTCTCCTAAACAGGCAGCAATGGCTTTGATTAGCTGGCAAATTGACCATGGCTAGTTCTAGGGAAGACTAATCTTGCCCATAGTGTTTTTTACTCTTGATCAGGGCTACATAGCAGCTCCACACACCCATGCCAGTTAAGCACACTTTTTTATTTTTTAAGTAGATAATGTAACCAGTACTTAGCCCTTAATCCCAGCACATATCTTAAAGGAACAGAAACAGGAGTACAATCTGCAAGCTTCTGTGTTCAGAGCATTCAAACAGTGATCCACATGTTTGTTGGATAAATATGTACTTTAGATTCTGCATTGATACACTTTGGATGAGGGGTCAGCAACCTAAGGCCCATGGGCCAGAAGCGGCCTGCAGAGGATGTTTGACCGGCCCATGAGCCACCCCCGAAATGAGCTGCCCACTTGCGTGCTGTGCTAAAGCAACGCAGCACCAGAAATCGCATCTGCACAGACACAGACAATTGCAGGTGCTCACACTTATGCACAGTCTGGCCCATGGAGGGATCTCCATGGGACCGATCTGGCCCAGGCAAGATAAACCTTGCTGGCCCCTGCTTTGGATGAAATGCAGTTAAAGGCACAGCCTGCTAAATGATGCAATGGTTGCATGGGTAGGCAAACCATGGCCTGGGAGCTGGAGCCGGCCCAGTCGCCTTCTAAATCTGGCCCGCAGACGGTCCGGGAATCAGCGTGTTTTTACATGAGTAGAATGTGTCCTTTTATTTAAAATGCACCTCTGGGTTATTTGTGGGGCCTGTCTGGTGTTTTTACATGAGTAGAATGTGTGCTTTTATTTAAAATGCATCTCTGGGTTATTTGTGAGGCATAGGAATTTGTTCAGGTTTTTTTTCCAAAATATAGTCCTGCCCCCCACAAGGTCTGAGGGACAGGGGACCAGCCCCCTGCTGAAAAAGTTTGCTGACCCCTGAGTTAGAGTGTCGGACAGGGACCTGGGAGAGCAGGGTTCAAATCCCCACTCAGCTATGAAGCTCTCTGGGTGACTTTGGGCCAGTCACCATCTCTTAGCCTGACCTACCTCACAGGGTTGTTGTGAGGATGAAATGGGGACAAGAAGAACCATGCACACCATCTTGAGATCCTTGGAAGGTGTTGTGTGTGTCTGTGTGTGTTTCTGAGTAGACATTGGTATACTGTTAGGCTTCTACAAAATTATCGAATCGTAGGGTTGTAAGGGACCATAAGGGCCATCTAGTCCAACCCCCTGCAAGGCAAGAAGGTTTTGCCCAACATGGGGCTCAAACCCACAGCCCTAAGATTAATAGTCTTGTGCTTTATCAACTTTAGTATTGGGTATATATTTATATTCAGTTAAAGACAATTATCAACATATCCCTTTGGGTTTTACAAAACTATGGGGAGCAGAAGAGTCTTCTAACCATTAAATTATTTTGAATCAGTGCCCAATAGACTGTTTTAACAGTTAGGCTGATATGTTTGTTTTCCAACTGTGGTTGTGAAATTAAGTTTAAGTGGATTTGTTATATAAACTCTGCTTGTATATTCCAACTATGTTTCTCGCTGTTCTAAAATAAATGATGCAATTCTCAATTCCTTTGTTGCACAATACACATAATATCTAAACAGCAGTTGTACTTTGGAAGGCTGTGAAAGTGCATTTGACTCATTCTCCAAATATTGTCTTGGCGATTTTGTATATTTTGGCCAACAGTGAATTTTATTTATTTATTTAAATATGGTTACTAACAACAGTACAGGTTGCTTCCATGTACATCAATTACATTAAGAAAGCTGATTGTTCATTTCTGTCTGGTAAGACACCCAAAGAACCCAATTTTAATATATCCTACAAATATATATATTGGTTTTATTCCAGTGTGGCTTCTCCAAAAGAATCTTGGGTATGGTGAAGGTGCTGTTATTATGGATTTCCCACGGTCAACTGTGGAGAGGGAATGACTATTAAAGCTAGTTTAATTTTGCAGGTTTGATGCCCTCAGTGTCCAGATACTTTACCTGGAGCCAATATTAGTGTAATATTTTTTATTTTTTATTTTTTAAAGTATCAGAATTTGTATACCACTTAATTGTAAAAACTTCTAAGCCATTTACATTTTTTAAAATATACATTAAAATGATTGATAAAAACCAGCAGTTAAAAACAAGTTGACCTAATAGCTTCCCAAGATATAAAAAACCCAGCAGTTAAAAGCTATGCATTAAAATGTAAAATTACATATTAAAATGCATGTTAGCTTTTGCCTAAGCAAAAAAGAAAAGAAAAAGGTTTTAGTAGGTGCCAAAAACAGTACAGCAAATATGCCTGCCTAATGCCAAAGCGTAGGTGCTGCCATGCTGAAAATACTGATTCCATACAAGAAACATTATGTGGCACTTGTAAAAGTGCCAGTTCATCACATCAGAGGGATCGAGTAGTCATCTCTCTCCCTCTGCTTCTGAGGAGTCAGTATGAAGACCATTCCATTGTGGGGTCACAAACCATTTTGGTCCCAAGAGCACATTTGCAAACTGGAGAAACTGCACATCCACTGCAACCGCACAGATACCACAACTGCATATGACTGGCTGTGAAGCTTAATCATGGCCTGAAAAGTCAGAGCTGAAGGGGGAGGAAGGGGTAATCTTTCCCTCCCCAGTTGTGACCATCCTGGAATTCCTTCTCTTCTATTGTGGTTAGGCTTGAAATAAGCATTGTATGTCTCATTAAGGAGTAGCAGACATTTTAGACAGTGGGGTTGCATCTGGGGAAGGAAGGGTTATGGGCGTGGGGGGAGGGTTAACTCTCTGCTCCCCGGATATGAGTTGTCCCCCCACCAAATCACTATTCATATATTTGTATCAGAGATGCAGATCAAGTCTGTTCAGATTGGAATTCACATGGATGGTAGGTGAAGGACCCTGTGTGAGAAGCAGGGAAGCGAAGACCTCCCAGAGTGGGAGGCTGGGAGAAGAAAGGGAAGCTTCCAGGTGAGCCAGTGGTGTAGCATGGGTTGCCAGGACCCAAGGCAAGGAAAGTTTGGCACTCCCTAATCAACGGCTCCATGAGTTGCTGCTGCTGCTGTCCGACGAAACTGCAGAGCAGTGCTGGAACATGTGTGCATGCCTCCTCAGGCTGGGGCACTGCCATCACTGTGAGTCTTGCTGTCCGCCTGCCTCCTCTTCCAACAGGGATGGCACCTGGCCAAGGGATGCAAGGGCCCATCCTCTCCTAGCTCCTGTTCAGCATGAGGCGGGCCAGAACAGGGAGCCCCTTGAAACGGCGGAACGGCACTCTCTCTCCCCCTTGCACCGCTGCGCCAGGCCTCTGTTTCCCTTTCCCTCAGGTGAAATCCCCAATGGAGAATGAATCACGAGCAGCGGTGGGTTTTTCTTTTGGGAAAACAGGTTGCAAACAATCTTTATTATAACAGATGTAAACAAGGTGTTTTGGTTCTTCTTCTTCCACAGAAATGTAACAAACATTGCTGTTGCTTTTTATTAAAACGTATACTGTTCCAAGTTATAGGCTGTATGCTGTTCAGTCTTTAGGTTACTTTCTTTTACACATCTTCCATAGATCAGACTTCTCTGCTCACAGTTCAGAAACTTGGGATTTTAACAAGACTGTTTCCCTTACAGACCCCCAAATCCTCCTTGGCCTCAGAATCACTACTGCCCTTTCCTCAGTATTCCCTCAGAGGACCCTTTTCCCTGCAAACACCATGTAGAACTGTGTCTTTTCTATTTTACCCGTGTTCTGCGATTCAGAAGCTTTGTCACAGTCCAGTTTACGGGCGGTCGAAGTCCTAGCAGAGGACGTCAGGACTGGGGACAAGATGGCGGGGGGGGGAGCAGGAACGAGAGTCAGGAAGCCAGGAGTCAGGAAGCCAAGGGTCCGAGGATCAGGAAGCAAGGAGTCAAGAAGCCAAACACAGCAAGGCAGGGAACGTGTTGCTGTGGCAAAGAGCCAAAGGGAAATGCTGACCTTATATCCCTTCCTGGCTCTTGCCACCAGGTCCTGTGAGTTACCAATTGGCCTCACCTGTGCAGCCATGCCTTGCCTCTTGAGAACAAACTTAGGAAAGCCCTAGTCCTGCGAAGCTCTACCGGTCACAGGGCTGTTGGGATCTTCGTTCGGCCAAGCTGATAAAGGTCATCATCCTCCGGAATCGCCCTCCCGACGAATAATTAACGACCTGAGCTTTTGATGAGGCTTCCAGGCACGTTCCGATTCAGCAGAGAATCAAAGCAGCACGCGGAAGTGATGAGATTTATGGCTACATCGCTATGCTTTATTTCTTAGTACGCAGACAGCAAAGAAATGTACATCCTCTCTCTATGAAAGCAGAGAGCAACTGAAACAAAGGAACAAAGGAACAGAGAAACCAGTACGTCACATCCGTCTCCCTTCTCCCATGAGACTTCAAATGGCGTGGACTGGAATGTAAACAGAGCCTTGTGACTCTAAGCAGCTGCTCAGTGGCAAACAGAAACTAACAAGGGCCTGGCTCCTGCACATACTCCTGACAACCTTAGAGCATATACTGAGAGTTCTCGGCTCTCCTCAGCTCTACCACCTGTCAGAACGAACTCTCCTGACAGAATCTGACTCCCAGACTCCATGAATCTGTCATGAGACAAAGGTTCTTGAGAGCAGAAGCAGTAAGGCCTACAAGGCCTACACAATCATTCAAGCCTGCTAACTGCTGTTAACAGCAAACTGCTAAGTCACTGTGATTCGTGACTCATTTTGAGGGATGACTCATTCTCCCTATAAAAGTAGCCAGTTTCTGTGCGTGTCTGTGTATGTATCTCAGCCAGTGTGTGTGCTGTGTTGTGCCAACAAAAATTGTGCCAGGACTCTAGTACAGTGGTACCTCAGGATGCGAACAGAATCTGTTCTGGACGCAATGGCGCGTCTGCGCGTGCATGGGTCGCGTTTTGCTTCCACGTATGCGCGTGACGTCATTTTGAGCGTCTGCGCATGCGCGAGCAGAGAAACCTGGAAGTAATGCGCTCTGTTACTTCCGGGTTGCCACAGAGCGCAACCCGAAAGCACTCAACCTGAAGCACATTCAACCCGAGGTATGACTGTACAGTGGTACCTCGGGTTAAGAACTTAATTCATTCCAGAGGTCCGTTCTTAACCTGAAACTGTTCTTAACCTGAGGTGTGCTTTCACTAATGGAGCTTCCTGCTGACGCTGCACTGCTGGTGCGCGATTTCCGTGCTTATTCTGGGGCAAAGATCTTAACCTGGAGCGACCACTTCCTATTTAGCGGAGTTTGTAACCTGAAGCATCTGTAACCCGAAGCATCTGTAACCCAAGGTACCACTGTAAATCAGTAACTAAGACTGTGTCTCTGTGAAGAGTCAGATAGCTGCTATGAGCACTCTGTGTATGCTCTTTATGCGTTTCCGAGCACAATTCAAAGGGTTGGTGCTGACTTTTAAAGCCCTAAATGGCCTCGGTCCTGTATACCCAAAGGAGCGTCTCCACCCCCATCGTCCTGCCCGGACACTGAGGTCCAGTGCCGAGGGCCTTCTGGCAGTTCCCTCACTGCGAGTAGCCAAGTTACAGGGAACCAGGCAGAGGGCCTTCTCGGTAGTGGCGCCCGCCCTGTGGAACGCCCTCCCACCAGATGTCAAAGAGAAAAACAACTCCCAGACTTTTAGAAGACATCTGAA